TCAGGGCCCGATTCCGCAGCGGCGGGAATCGGGCCTCCAAAGCGGGGGTTTACCCGCCCCCTGCCCCCACTTGGCAGCCCTAGTGCTAATGTTTGTATTGGATTGGATCTTACCTTTAGCAAACACGTAGCCACAAGCTTACATTTGCTAAAATAAGGGGTATGCTGGGGTAAAAGAGCATTTACTGGAAAGAACTGGCGGGAAGAAGGAGTGCCCCCTCCCCCTGCATCCAACATTTATCCCCTCCATTTCTTCCCCTAATTATCATTATTATTATTATTTTTAAACAAGCCCCTTCCAGCTTCAAAGCCTCATCTGGGGAGGTGGGGTGGATGACCACGAGGAGATTTCCATGCCAGGAACAACTTTGGGGGTGGGGTTAAGCACCCCCCCAAAAAAAATTCTCCCCTGCAAATTCTCCCCTCCCAGGATACTGCATCAGCATTATGGAGGACCACATGCCCAAGAGCATCTAGTTCCACTCAGATGTTGACATTAAAGTAAGGGGACAACATGGAATCCTACCTGTTGTACTTCGTGACGGGAATGTCGGCACCATTTTCCTTCAGTTCAACAGAAACCTTAGATCCCCTTTCTTCTTTCACTACCTGATGAAGAGGGAGGCAATATTCAAGCTACTGTAGACTACGAGGACGTTACTTATTCCGTTTATGCGACACTTTCCTGCCCAGCCGGGACCCAAAGCAACAAACAATCATTCTCGTCTCCTCCACCCCTTTCAATAGTCTGAATTTTAAAAATTTAGGTTATTTATAGTCCGCCTTTCCCATTGGGACTCAAGGTGGATTACGCAGGGGTAAGCCAATAAAATCGACAGATGGGGTATTCAATAAACAATGCAGAACCAAGAGACGTCTAGAAACAGAACTGAAGCAAAGCATAAGTGTTAATAGGACACATTAATTAAATTAAGCAAAGTGCCATAATTGGACCCCGGTTTCCACAAACTATAAAAAGTAATATAGAACACAGCGTCAGCTAGGCCTTTCTGAACCCCTGTTTGCCATGGGAGTGGGGGTGACTCTGGGATGATAAGGTTCAATTCTGCTGTGTCTCCTATGTTTCTATTATCTCTGTATGACCTTCAGTGCCTGGTGTAGTCTTTCTCTTGGGAAAAGTAGCCCATTACTTTGGCGGGCTTCTACCTGATCCCTGATTGGCCCTGGGCCATCAGGGGGCCTCTCTGAATAATGTATTCTGTTTGCTGCGAGCTCTTTTCTTCAGTTCTAACACAAAATGGTTACGATATCTGCATACTCTCATTGTCTCAATAAACTCTACTCTTTTGAATGAAAGCTGTTGGGAACTGACTGCTGCAGGAGCAGTCTCTAATGCTTTTTCCAAGTAACTCTGTGGATCATTTAGTACAGTGCAACTCTATACATGCAATCTGATCAGCATGAAAATAAAAGTGGCTTGCCCACAGACGTATGCAACAAGTCGGCTATGAAAAGGGTATCAGTATGATGCCGTACTGTGAAATCCAACATCAGGCTTTCCATGTTGTCATCGTATTGCTCGTCCAAGATGGCTTGAAGACCCCTAGCAGGCAAAAGAGCAAAGTGTAACACACTGAACACATTTGTTTAGGAGTAATTTAAAGGCTACTGGCTTTTGACTAGCATTGCAGAAGGGTGTGTTTGTGTGTGTGCGTGCGAAGTGTTGTCAAGTTGCTCCCGATTTACAGAGACCCTATGGGTTACTCTCCTCCAAAATGTCCTGTTGTCAACAGCCTTGCACGGGTCTTGCTTTTTCTCCTGCTGCCTTCAGCTTTTCCTAGCATGGTTGTCATTCCCAGTGGTTCTCGTCTTCTCATAAAGGGGCCCAACTTACAATAACCTCAGTTCAGTCGTTTCAGCTTCTAGGGAGAATTCAGTGTTACTTCAGCCTAAATCCATTCAAACCAATGAGCTTAGACTGGATTAACTCTGCACAGGATTGCATGGTAAGCATGCTTGTGTGTTATGTGCCTCTTTCCTTGTATTTTTATTTTTGTCCTTTTTGACCACTTTTTCAATCCAACCACCCTTTTCCAATTTTCTTCTCTCTTTTATAATAAACTTTTTTTTTTTTAATAAAGACACATTTTGGCTTTGCTTAGTACAATTTAGTTCTCTGGGATATTTCTCTTAATCTCTTCCCCACACGCTAGATTGCACAGGCGCTACACAGTTTGTTAGGTATTTCCAAGGGTTTCTACCCTATCTACTTTGTTACTGGTTTAGTACTACCCTAGAGGGATACTTTCTCAGTGGGTCAGTGTAGATATTCTCGGGCTGCCCCTGAGTGTTGGCAGCCGGATACCAGGGCACTTTCCAGGGAACCCTTAGTCTAAGGGAGTTTCCCAGCAAGGAAAGATGACATCACCCTCTTCCTTCCTTCTTTCCCTGTATTTTTATTTTTGTCCTTTTTGACCACTTTTTCAATCCAACCACCCTTTTCCAATTTTCTTCTCTCTTTTATAATAAACTTTTTTTTTTTTTAATAAAGACACATTTTGGCTTTGCTTAGTACAATTTAGTTCTCTGGGATATTTCTCTTAATCTCTTCCCCACACGCTAGATTGCACAGGCGCTACACAGTTTGTTAGGTATTTCCAAGGGTTTCTACCCTATCTACTTTGTTACTGGTTTAGTACTACCCTAGAGGGATACTTTCTCAGTGGGTCAGTGTAGATATTCTCGGGCTGCCCCTGAGTGTTGGCAGCCGGATACCAGGGCACTTTCCAGGGAACCCTTAGTCTAAGGGAGTTTCCCAGCAAGGAAAGATGACATCACCCTCTTCCTTCCTTCCATAGCAGCTTAGCTATGTAGTGAACTGAAAACTCTGGATACCTTGTCCCTATAGAGAAGGATTTTTAAACGTTTAGGACCATGTAAAGTCCACGTAACTCAGAACATAAAATCAGAGAAGACCCAATTCCTCCAATATTCATTTTACAGTGAATGAATCTATTGGTGGGATATTCCTCCGTACCTTCCTTCTAGAGGAGAGAGCTCCTTCAAATCTTCCAGAGTCAACGGAATATCTGCCATCTTCTTGAACAAAGCGAGAGGGAAAGGGAAGGCAGCAATCTTCCTATTATAGAGGGCCATTCCAAATATATTCCCGATCAGAAAATATATGTCTTCCTGTGCTGGTACCTGGTTTGAAAATTCAGCATACATGCAACACGGGGATTAGATGTTTGAATGGGCAAAGAGAATGTCTAGTTATAACCAGCCAGATGCGAGTCCAGTAGAAACTTGGAGACCAACAATATTTTTGGGGTATAAGATTTTAGACAGTCAAAGCTCCCTTCATCAGATAAGGCTCCAATCTAGCTATTCTACTGCAGACCAACAGGTCTACCAGCAACATGGTACAGCAATACTGCTTTGCCTGTAAGGCTTGTCTCATTTCATCCATATAGCGAAGAATCATAAAATCATGGAGTTGGAAGGGACCTCCAGGGTCATCTAGTCCAACCCCCTGCACAACGCAGGGAATTCACAAATACCTCCCCCTCCACACCCGCAGTGACCACTGTTCCATGCCCAGAAGATGACAAAAGACCTCCAGGATTGCTTCCTGACCCCAAAGTGGCGATCAGCATTTCCCTGGGCTTGTAAGAAAGGGCCACAAGAACTAAGCACTGAGGCAACCCTTCCTGCCCTCCTTCTCACGGATCTGTGGGAACTTTCTATAATAGGCTGCATTCTTGTATTTGTATGCTAATCTGCTGCTAATTCACAGGTTGCACCAACTGCCCTAATCCAATCTTAGCTATATACTCATCGCCCAGTTACTCATGCATCTTGACTCTTAACTAGCTCTTCCTGCCAACTAACCCCCCCCCCCCAATATGTAATGGTTGTGGAAGTCTGTTTCACTGCACCTGGAGACTTGTGCACGCACACGAAAGCGTCTTACTTGTTGGTTTTAAAAGTGCCACTGAACTCAAACTTTGTTCCCGGGCTACCCTCCGAAACGAGTAACTGCCAGGGCTTCTTAAGCCCTCTGCTGGTGGAGAGGGGAATGGTGACTGCAGGGAGCAGAAGGAAGGAAAATGCAAGGAAAACTGCTGCATGGATGCTCCACTGCTGGTGTGGATGCTTCACGAAGAATCATCACCATGTGGAAGCAGCCAAAGACAGCATCGTGAATATATTCATTGGATCACTGGACCATCTAGCTCTGGACTGTCTGGTTTGACTGGGGGCAGCAGAAGTCTCCCTGTGGAAGCTACAAGACACCGTTGATCTGGAGATTACAGGGACTGAACCTGGGACCTTCTGCATTCAAAGCAGGTGCGCTGCCACTGAACTATGACCACTTCCCAAAAGGAAAACACTCGCTTTGGTGCTAATGGGAAGACAAAGGCACCACTGAAAGCCACAGCTCTGGACCTACGGCTTATAAACCCAATTCGCTGACGCTTAATAGGCTGCTACTGACACACTGGAAATCTAACCATGGATCTCCTAGCATGGCATCTGGTTTCACCCAACGTAATCCTGGATGCTAGACCAGAATGATTTGCATCTGATTCTGCAGGACGTGTTCTTTTAGCTAATAACGGACAACAGAAATAACTGCCGCATGGAAGCGGAGCCATCATACCTGGCTGGAGAACCAAATCAGATGGGTTTCTTCAAAGTGCCGGAAGATCTGTGCTTCTGGGGCACACAGTTCCCTTCTGAGGACTGTGAAGAACTCTTGAGATGGACCTCCACCATCGATTCCAGGTTCTCCAACAAAACACACCTGAAGAACATAGCAACAGTCAGATTATTTACTATACTAACTTAAGTGTATTTAGCAAAAGAAATCTCTATCCTACTTGTTGACCCTACATGGTGGCAAACATCGATTCAAACCACAACAAAATAGAAAAATAAACACAGAAGAGAAAGCTTCCTCCCAACCTAACAAACTTTGAAACAGGACAACAAATAAAAGAAGAGGCAGGCTTCAAGAGTAAGTCTTGATCTGCTGTACATTGTTAAGTATTGTTAGCTCTCTGAAACAATTTTCTCCCACCAGTGGCATGCAGGCAGCATGACACAGTGGTCAGAGTGTTGGATTAGGATCTGGGAGACCCAGGTTCGAATCCCCAGTTCTGCCATGGACTCTTTCTGTGTGATTTTGGGCCAGTCACATACTCTCAGTCTAACGTACTTCACGGAGTTGCTACAAGTTTATAATGGAGGAGGGCAGAATGATGTCATAAATCACTTTGTTCCTCACCGAGGAGAAAAGTAGGTAACAAATAACCTAAATATAGAAGCTTGGTGGACTTCCCTAAGAAGTGAGTCACTGACTCTGTCTGCTCATGTTCACAGTCAGCCCTGACCTGGATGGCCCAGGTAAGGCCAATCCTGTCAGATCTTGGAAGCTAAGCAGGGTCCGCCTTGGCTAGTATTTGGAAAGGTGGCCTCCAAGGAATACCAGGGCTGTGATGAAGAGGCAGGCAATGGCAAACTGCCTCTGAAACATCTCTTGCCTCAAAAACAAGTCTAGCTCACCACCTAGTGGTGCATAACGTTAAAAGAGGAAGGACTTCTGGCTGCCAGACAATCTTAGGATCTCCTGGCCAGTGTTCCCTCTAAGCTGAGTTGGTGTGAGCTAGCTCACAGTTTTTTAGTCTCTGGCTCACACATTTTTGTCTTAGCTCAGGAAGGATGGCTCCAAAGCAAACTAATTTATGCAGCAGCCAAATCTCCTGCTCACAACGTTAATGCCAGTAGCTCACAGAGTAGAATTTTTGCTCACAGAGCTCCATAGCTTACAGGGAACATTGCTCCTGGCTATTCTACACACAACGCCATACAATAATTATCATTATTATTCAGTCTAGACTAGCAAATTTCCACTGATGCTGTGTGACATTCAACAAGCTCATGGTTGAAATGGGAGCAGTTTTGACTGCCAAAACCAGCAGAACTTGTGGCCTAACCATGCTTACTCAAGAGTAAATCCCACTCATTTAAATGGTATTGATTCCCAAGTAACTGTGCAAAGGGTTACAGCTTTGTACTGCAATCTCGAGCATGCTTACTTACAAGTAAGACATGGTACATGGACTTGTAATAACTAAGGCTGCAATCCTTCGTATAGAAAAACACATACAAAAGCCATGTAATATCTTTTACTAACAGAACTATAACAATAACAAAAATCATAGCTCCATACTTGCCAGATATAACTTCTACTGAATTCATTAGGGCTGATTTCCACAAACATAAACAGGGATCTTGTAGCACAAAATTTTTGTTCTAAGGTAAGCTTTTTAAGACACCACAGGTTAAGTTAAAACCAACATTTCAAAAGCTTATGCCAGAATAAAAACCTGGCAAGGTGCTATGAGATCCCTGTTCATTTGTGCTGCAGGAAGAAGAAAAGAGAAGAGATTGGATTTACACCCCGCCCTTCACTACCCAAAGGTGTCTCAGAGCGGCTTACAAACTCCTTTCTCTTCCCCTCCCCACAACAGACACCCTGTGAGGTAGGTGGGGCTGAGAGAGCTGTGACAGAAACTGCTCTTTTTCAAGAACAGCTCTTATCAGATGTAGGTGGCTATTCTAGGCCTGCTGGGTTTGGAAACTCCTGGAGATTTTGGGGGGGTGGAGCCTGGAGGGGTGTGTGGTTTGGGGAGGGAACTCAGCAGGGTATAATGCCAGGGCCCACCCTCTGAAGTAGCCCTCATCTCCAAGAGAACTAGTCTCTGCACTCTGAAGATCTCCAGGCCCCACCTGGAAGTTGGCAACACTAGACTATTCCTTGGGCATTTCATTTTCAAGAAAAGTGAGTTTAGGGTTGCCAACCTGTTCTGGGATTGCGGCATTTGATATCACTGTGCAGCACAACCATTCTTTATTTCATGTATAGCCCATCTTTCTAAAATGCAAAGTGGACTACAACAAAATATAGAAATAATTCAGCGAGGCAGCATAAAATATCCAATAAACAATACCACATGCTAACATTTCAGAATTGGGAAACAACGCAAGAAAAGTGTAGGGCATAACATACCAGAAGGCAGAAAACGGTTTATACTTGCAATGCACACATTGTTCACCCATAACACAAATCCACCTGACTTTAGTGGGGCTTACTTCCGAGTAAACGCGCCCGTTCCTATGCATGCTTATTGGGAAATCAGCGAAATAGTCCTTCTCTAAAGAATTGCAAAGTGCGCTCGTTTGGTGTGTTAAAGAGCAGCGAAGCCCTTCTAAATCAGATGACTCTCACCGTCATGTAAGCGAGTGGAGGACTGCAGCCGCCGAGCCCACGCTTGGTTTTCTCAGGAGTAACCCCAGAGAATGAGCCCCGGTTCCCATATTCCCATGCAAACGTGCACAAGATTGCAGCCGCACAGCCAATTCCCTGGCATCTGTCCTCGGAAACCGGTTCCCCTGGGTTTCCACAAACTACGCGTGCCTGGAACTGCAGCTTTCAGATCTCCACCTCTCCCCCCCCCCCCCCGGGGCAATTCACTCCGCAGCAAACCCACTCAGTTCGTTGGGACTTCGCTCCCCCGTCGGAGGTACCTGCCCGGGCTTGCAGCTCTTCAGCGCCGACTAGGTGGGAACCCGGCTCGTCGCAGCCCCAGCGGCCGTTCAGGGAGTGTCTTCCTCGCCCGGGCAGGAAGCAGTTCTGCTTGCACCACCGGGTTGCCTCCCTCCGCCTGCCCTTGGAGCGGCTGCCTGCAGAGAGCAGTTCGCCGCGGATCATGCTGGCCCTGCCCAGGCTCCGGCTCCTGACTTGGGCTTGGCGCCGGGGGAACCTGCAAGCGGCGGCCGGCCGGCCTTTCTGCGCCGCCGCCCAGGAGGAGGACGGACGAGCCGGCCAAGGACAGCAGCAGCAGCGCCCGCCCTTGGATCCCGGCCTCCTGGAGATCCTCGCGTGCCCTTTGTCCAAGAAGTCGCTCAGGTCAGCCGCGCCCTCCCGCGTTTGTAGAATTTCACCCCTTGCACGCAACTCCCAAGTTTCTTTTCTCAGAGGGCTTCCAAGCCCCCATCCCCCCCCCCATATTCGGCCGCCCGGCCGCTTCCTCTCCACTCACTCTTTGCAACTCTCGCCCCCTTTCCAGGGGCTGCTTTAAGTTTGCTTCACGCCCCGCACTTCGGCTTGCATTTCCGGGATAAATCCTGTGCGCTCCAAATGGAAGCGTGTAATTTCCTTTAAAGCAAGGCACGCTGCAATCAACATTACACTTTGCAGCCATCTTGGTGCTTCAGAGCCTGGCTGTAAAGAAGGCCGGTGCGATTATCTCCACATGCCAGGCAGGCAAAGAGGAGAGTTGCTTGCCGAAGTCCAGATCATGGGAGACCTGTGAACTAGTCAGTTCTCTTGGTCTCTTAGCTCACAGTAGCTGTCTTGCATTTTGGCAGCAGGGAAGCCCTATTGGTAGAAACCAGCATGGTGTAGTGCAAGACTAGGCGCCAGGAGACTCAGGTTCGAATCCCTACTCAGCCATGAAAGCTTGCTTAGGTCAGTCTCATACACACTCAGCCTGTCCTGCCTCACAGGGTTGTTGTGAGGATAAGGTGGATAAAAGAATGGTGCAAGTCACTTTGGGTCCCCCATGGGGGAAAGGGTGGGGGTATAAATAAATAAATAGGTCTACAGCAGCAAAAATAAACAGGAGTCCTGTGGCATTTTTAAGACTAACAAGAATGTATCCCAGCCTAAACTTTCATGGGCTAGAGCCCGCTTCCAGCCACACAGCTGAGTTTGTGCTCCCCCCCAGACAAAAATACCCCGCCTGTTAAATATATAGTTCTGAAAGACAGCCTGTTTCCCTTCTGAGATGTTACAGAGCAGTGAAGACGGAGTTATTCCACCAAGCATTCAACAACTTAGATTATGTCAGCATCTATAGTCGCCATCTTGTGTATTTTATAATGTGTATGTTATAATGTGGGTAAATTGTGATTTTAATGTATTGTATATTGTTTTAGAGGCATTGTTTTATTATTTTTATTGTTGTAAGCCGCCCTGAGCCGCTTCGGCGGGAGGGCGGGATAAAAATCAAATAAATAAATAAAAATCAAATAAATAAATAAACTGTTAAATATAGAGCCTAACTGTTAAAAAATAGTTCTGAAAGACAGCCTGTTTCCCTTCTGAGATGTTACAAAGCCTTTACAGAGTAGTGGCGCTAACATCTAAGGACCACGGAGAAGACATTTGAGAGCAGGGGGTCAGCGGCCTTTTGTCATTCATAATTAAAGAGCCAACCTAGACCAAAATTCAGAGCAAGAGATCAAATAAAGAGGCAGTATAAGTAGGTTCACATAAGCAAAGTGTACCGGTCAACATTATCAGTAAGTGACGTGTTGATTAATACTCCATAAAGTTCCTACAGCCCAAACACTGGTCGTTCTGAGTCCTTTATTAGGAAGTGGCGCACACAAGGCCTCACAATCAGTAGTAAGTGCGCGCACAGGAGCATCGTTGAGAGCCAGCATGGTGTAGTGGTTCTTCTCTGTGTTGGCAGACTCTAATCTCTGGAGAACTGGGTTTGAATCCCCACTCCTCCACCACACGGAGCCTGCTGGGTAGTTCTCTCAGAGCTCTCTCAGCCCCACCTACCTCACAAGGTGCCTGTCGTGGGGAGGAAGAGGGGGCAATTCTATGTCACTTCGAAACCCCTAAAGGTAGAGAAAAGCAGGGTATAAAATCCTACTCTTCTTCATCCTGTGTGATTCTTTTGGGGGGGTATTTTTTAAATTGCACGTGTGTGTGTGTCCGTGCACCTGGAAGTCATGGCGACCTCTGGAGACTGACCCCTACTGGGGGCCTGGAGGACATCCAGAGAGTGGCTGAATAAAGACTGCCAGAGTCAACCTGGCTTAGCTTCCAAGATCTGACAAGAACGGGCTTGTCTGCCTGTGCGATTATTGTAGTCTCCTGGCAGACATCTGAACATGGCTCACACTTGGATTACTGGCAGTGGTTAACTTCTTTCATTTCCCTGTCTGCAAATCATCTCCAAGAAGCCCTTTATAACCCCATCAACACCTTTTCCTGCCATACCCTTCACATTTTGGTTATTTTGGCATCCCACCTATCTGTCCAATAGACCTTAATTTAAAGAATCCATACTGAGTCGCAACTGGGCTCGAGAGCCAACACTTGCAGACTCCTTCTCTACTGCATCGATCTCCCCAGTTCTTTCATCGGGCAATGTTAAAGTACCACTGGCTAGTTAAAAGGCAAGTAATCCCACATGAAGTAATTTTGAAAACACGGCCCATCTGCCTTGCAGCATAAGCTCACTGGTCGGCTACACACAAATTGTTGCTTCTCGGCTTCTGTTGCTGATCTACAAAATGGTCTCTCAGTAGCATTTTTTTGCCAGGGAGCCCAGGGCAGCACACCCGGCTCTTCCCTCCTCTGTTTTACCCTCACAAGAATTTTGTTGAGCTGAGGGACTAATTAATTATCATCTGGCCTTGTGTGTGCTATAGCCAGGAGATCCTAAGATTGTCTGACCGTCTTAAAGTACTAGCCCTTTTTAGCATTGCGCACCACTAGGTGGTGAGCTAAACTTATTTTTTGGGCTGAGAGAGCTCTGAGAGAGCTGTGACTGACCCAAGATCTCCCAGCTGGCTTCATGAGAAGTGAGGAATCAAACCCGATTCTCCAGATTAGAGTCCACTGCTTTTAACCACTACACCACGCTGGCTCTCAGCTGAGGGACTAAATGTGATTGGCTCAAGGTCACCCAATGAGGTGTACAGCTGAGTGATTTGAACCTGGGTCTCTGCCATCCAGCCCTCGAGCCACTACGCTTGCTCTCACAAGGAATTCATAAGATGCCCTTTGGCCACTGGGAACAAGGGGCATAAAAACCCAACACAGTGGTCTTCCTCCAAACTGTGCAGGTTCAAATTTTGGGGCTTCTCAGCTGCTTGTCAGGAGCTCCCTAACGAGCAACTGAGTAATGGCAAAGCAAGCTTTCTTGACATATTGCTGATTGTCTGCGATCCACAGCCACACGAGTGGGACATGCATGTTCTAGAACATTCCATTTGCAGGTGGGCACCAGTGAAGCCAGAGAGACCTGACTCGTCTAACTGAACACATTCCAGAATACAGGGGCAGATGCGTAAGGCAACTGAAAAGACTTCCTGGAAGTAGGAAGTTGGAACACAAGATAGGCATACCAGAGGAAGTCTAATTTGATCAGTTGCTGAGTTCTTCTGGAAGTAGGAAGTTGGAACACAAAGATAGGCATACCAGAGGAACAATATACTAGAAGTCTAATTTGATCAGTTGCTGAGTTCCACGCATGGTGCTCTTCTTAGATATTAGAAGTCTAATTTGATCAGTTGCTGAGTTCCACGCATGGTGCTCTTCTATAGGAACAGCCCTTAGCCAAGGCTAGATTGGTCAGGACCTATGGGGAGGACTTTTTCCTCTGCTGACCCCCAACCTGTGGGCTGCTTTCCCTCTAGAGCTGAGACTGGCACCATCCTTCAAGCCCCACTGGGATGGCGCCAAGACCTAGTAGGGCCCTGGTCACACGGCAAAGTTGTTGCGGGAGAGGCACGGAACGTGGGTGGATTATCCGGGCGCGATCACACCCCAACATCTGGGAAGTGGAGCGCACCCGTGGCTTACCGCCAACAATGCGCATTTAAAAACTAGTACCTCCAAGGTACTAGTAAACGTTTGCCACTGGCTGCCTCCAGACGCCCGTGGTGTGATCCCGCTGGCGCACGGCATTCCCCTCCGGTCCCTCATTTACCCGCTGGTGCCGAAGAAAGGACCGTAGTGTGCCGCCGGTCCGTCTGATCACGTAATCGCGGCTCAACCTGCGCCGGGGCAATTAGCCACACCTCCCCCCTGCGATATCCTGCCCGTGTGACTGGGGCTAGAGATCACTTGAGATTAAGGCTGAAGGGTTTGTTCCCTGCTGATTTTGCGAGTTGCGGTCAAGTGTGGTTTTATGAACCTTATATATAATACTGTATGTCATGGATAGGTTTGCATTGCTTTGAACGTCAGTTTGGTGGGGGAAGCAGTTAATAAATCAGCTAAAACAAGACTGCTTTTTGCTTTTTAAGTCAGTAAATCCAGTGTATCAACACACCCAAACTGATAGGCCAAACTGACATTGGCCTATCAGTGTTTCCTGCTTAGACTGGCAGGAGCTCTCAGGCAGAGAGGTCTTTTGCCTCACCAACTACCTGATCCTTCTAAAGTGGAGATGCCAGGAATTGAACCTGGGACCTTCTGCATGCCAAGCACGTGCTGTATCACTAACCCATCATGTATCCATGTTTTTTGTATTTACTAGGTATGAAGAATCCACCAGTGAGTTGATTAACGAAGAGCTGGGCATCGCTTACCCCATCATTGATGGCATTCCTCATATGATACCCCAGGCAGCGAGGATGATTGGCAAGGAGAACCAAGAAAAGGAACCCGAACAGACCTAGGTGATGGTCTTTTAAAAAGGGGAAGGTGAAAGATACGCAAGGCCAGGGGAAAATGTTCCCGTCGCTTCCTACAATGACTGTACTCGTTCCACTCTTGTCCTTGGCTGGTCTGTTTTATTCGGCCAGCGTGGATGAAGACTTCCCCCAGGGATGCACTAGTACAACCAGCCTCTGCTTCTACAGCCTGCTGCTTCCCATTACGATCCCCGTTTATGTGTTCTTCCACCTCTGGACCTGGATGGGCCTCACACTCTTCCGCCACAACTAGGCTGGCAGAGGGTCTGTTGACAAAGAATACGCTAGTGATCCTTAACATTTTATCTCTGCAAGTGAGAGGTGGAAGTGATGGACCCCACAGTGTATAAAATACATTTCCATGAAGATGCACCCAAGTTCACAGAAGATCTGCATGCCCTTCATTGCAGTGTCTGCACAAGGAACTTCCCTGTTCAGGGCGTGTAGCGCCAGATCACATTAAGCAAAGAAGAAACAAGGAAGTCCTATGGTGTACCAAATCATGTGGCCCAGACTGCCTTCACAGGCTTCACCTTCTCTCCTTGTATGCATGGTGGCTGCAGTTAAGACTACTACAAGTTGACCTTAAAATGGCAGGTGGTAAATATATTCATACAACCTACCAAGTTCCTCGAAAGAGCTCTGTGCAAAGGTACCCTAAGGGACAGCTTCTTTGTTACAGATTTTTGAAGTCAGGCTTTACATACAATGATGCTTCACAAGCAACACACAGAAGAGCAGTCTTTCGTGCAGGAGTTTTGTAAAGTGAAAAGTTGTCTCTTTGTGCACTAGATGTTGGGTTCTCAGGTTACAGATGATTTGTAATCAGGCATGGTGGCCAGAGGGTATATTCTCTTGCATTTAGCTACAGAATTGTCTTGTGGGTACCCTGGCTGTTTGAACTGATGCGTGCAAGAAAAAAGGGTTGGGAGTTCACACATAGTGCTGCGAAAATGATCAGCGCAGGATAAAAACGTTACTGAACAGCAAACTTTTGTTTTTTTTAAAATAAAAGCACCTTTAAAGTCAAGTAGACTTTTTTTTTTGGTATCGCTTGATATTTTTCTCCTCGTGGATTTTAAGGGCGACTGTTCCCATTTTCTTTAAGTCAGGTGCGGCCTTCTGGCTGCGCCAGTGTTTTGGCAACTACTTAAGCATGCTGTTGTGGCAAAGCCACAAAATTTCTTTTTATGTTATCTGCTGTTAACCTGCAAATGAGTGGCAACACACATCTAAGCTGGATTTTAGGCATGTAACAAAGCACACTCAGGGAACACATCCTAGAGATTTCACAAAGCCACTTCCACAATAAGAGAAGATTTTAGGCAGTGTGTAAATGGTGGTGGAAAGTGCCATCGAGTCACAGCTGACGTATGGCAACCCCGTTGGGTTTTCAAGGCAAAAGGTTTACCATTGCCGGCCTCTGCATCATGGCATTCCTTAGAGGTGTAAACAGTTGTACTTGTATGCCTGTCAGTGTTCCTGTTGTTTCAGACAAGGCCCAGTGTGGAGGAGGGCCCGACAGTTAAGAGTCAGGCCATCTGGATAAAGCCTTTTCCTGCAGCCTGGCTTAAACTGGACTGTAGAAGAGGAAGGAAGCCCAGGATCTTCTGTGCTGCACGGAGCAATGTGCTCTGCATGGCACAGCAACTCCCGGGGCTCCCAGGCTGCAGGGGAAAACTCGCTGCTCGGAGAAGGTGCCCAAAGGGATCGGTCCCTTTAAGCACCCTCCCCAGGCGGTGAGTGAACCAATCCCTTCGGGCACGTTCTCCAAGCGGCGAGTTTTCTCCCACGGTCCAGTGTGCATGAAAGCTTATGCCCAGAATAAAACTTTGTTGGTCTTAAAGGTGCCACTGGACTCAAACTTTGTTCTGCTGAGTCAGACCAACACAGCTACCCCCACCTGAATCTGTCTTCATGGAAGGTACCAAGTTAAACCACACAGACTGGAAATCCATCAGTCTCACAAGGCAACGTGCACAGGTTCAGACTGGGATTTCCTTTCTTACAAAATGCAGAAACCTGGGCATTATACGTAAGAGACTCAGAATTAAGAATCCTTTCCCAAACAATTGTTGGGCTTACATTGTTCCAGTGGAAGGGGGGGGACGACGACAAATGCTATCCCAAGTATGAGAACTTGAGTCCTGCGCAGACATTCAAACGTCGACTCGTGCACAGATATCCCACCTCTGCTATGAGTATTTTGCTAAATTATGATCTGCCACCTGGATCAGAGGAATTCTGTCAGGGGTCACAATGGAAAATACTAGCCAAGCCCTATCTGTCACACTGTGATGGATACAGATGATGAAATCTCCCACCAATCTCTCCTTGTAAAGTTCTTCCTCTTAGGCAGCCCTCCACCCTGGTTCTCGTGGAAGACTTAAGAATTGCTTCTGCCAATACACCCATCTGCAAAGCTGAACACCGCCACGAAAAGCACCTTCCCACGACAGCTGTCCTTGGGAATATATGGTGGATACCAATGTTCCCTCTAAGCTGTGGAGTCTTGTGAGCAAAAATTCTTCTCTGTGAGCTACCGGCATTAAAGTTGTGAGCGAGCAATTTGGCTACGGCATAAATTAGTTTGCTCTGGAGCCATCCTTCCTGAGCTAAGATGAAAATGTGTGAGCCAGAGGCTAAAAAACTGAGCTAGCTCACACTAACTCAGCTTAGAGGGAACACTGGTGGACACCATCTGGGGGAGTCACGAAGGATCAAGGATTCCTTGTACAATCCACTGGGTGCCTACAGACCCAGATCTTTGCCCCCAATCTAACTGAAGTTATTTATTTAATTCATTTATACTCCACCTTTCTCCCCATATGTGGACCCAGTGTGACTTATCTTTTTCTCCTCCATTTTATCACTGCAACAACCCTGTGAGGTTCGTTAGTCTGAGAGAGGGTGACTGGCCCAAGGTCACCCAGCGAGCTTCCATGACACAAATGGGGATTCAAACTTGGGTCTCCCAGGCACTAGTCTGACACTCTTTAACCACTACACCACACTGGCTGTCCATAATCTCACTTAAATCCTGTTCGGGTCAAGTGACAACTAACTTGTCCCCATTGATTTCAACAGGGTTAAATACACCAGATAGGAATTGGATTGGAGCTCTTTCCTCAGCTAAACACCAAAGATGTGTCAATGTAGCTGTGCCAAATGTAACTGATGTCTGAGATGGTTCTTAGACTTAAAGCTTTGCTGCATCTCAGTCAAGCATTGGGAACAATAAACTGGAAATTGTGGCATGTATCTATTTAAAATATTTCTACACCAAACCTTTCCTGCAGACAACGGGAGCCTGTGCTACCTACTTGTGAAAAATTTCACTGGAATGCACCACAAGGCATGAATGTTTTGAAGCTTGGTCAGAAGAAGTGAAGTGTAATTTCTTACTTTGAGGAAGTGCTGGAACTGGTTGTCTTGCATATTCCTGATACACAGCCATGTGTCTTGCACCAGATGATGTCTCCTCACAACTAATTGTGTGACTGTAGGGTTTGGCTACAAGGACACAAATAGTAGGTCAATAATCTGGCATGTTTTGCAATCATGTTAGGCATCTGTGGGGATGTACCTACCCAGGTGTACATACCACAGGACATATGGCAGTCTAGATTATGCAGTAGAATCTTTGCTTCCATATCCAAGACACAAGGGACCAGAGTGAGAATGTCCAAAGCATACTGAAATGACAGAGGGAAAATTAATCTGCAAAGTGACACACACACACACATTTTAAAATCAGATCTAAAAAGGGCGTCAGAAACACAGGAATGCTGCTTTCTCCGTATCCTGTATTGAACACCCTTTGGCTGTAAGAACGTGAAATGCATTTGACCATAATTCATACATTAGTGCTTTTGTTTCGCTGTCTCAAAAACGGCAGTAGAGACAGATGACCACCTTCCCACCTTCCAGTGTTTGATAGTTTCTGAAATCACCCATCAGTAGAAATCCTGTCCTTAAAAGTCCAATATATGAACAACCCCTCTGCTTTTTCATGTGTTTAACTCTGAAAGCAGCCCATGGGGGCAACAGTGGAGCTCATGAGAGGTTGAGGCAGAAGTTCAAAGGTCACTCAGAGAAAGCCAAACAGTCATCTACCTAGCAAGTTAGGTATCTCTGAGAAGGAACGGACTAGTGCTTAGAATCTAGAGAACGTCTCCATGATGGTCCCAAGGTCTGAGATATTACTGAGTTAGTGACCTCTGAGGGTACATCAGGTACCACTGTGAGCTCTTCAGAAAAAGAAAAAGAGGACAGGAAGATCTGGTGAAGTGTACAGTCCTACTTTTGCTACTACGGGCACAGTAACGTTTAATTTCTGGAGATACCATCAAAATGTTCCGCCATGAGCTACCTTTCTTCCAGATCACGTTGAAAGCAGCCCATGGGGGCAACAGTGGAGCTCATGAGAGGTTGAGGCAGAAGTTCAAAGGTCACTCAGAGAAAGCCAAACAGTCATCTACCTAGCAAGTTAGGTATCTCTGAGAAGGAACGGACTAGTGCTTAGAATCTAGAGAACGTCTCCATGATGGTCCCAAGGTCTGAGATATTACTGAGCTAGTGACCTCTGAGGGTACGCCAGGTACCACTGTGAGCACTTCAACAGAACAAGAAAAAGAGGACAGGAAGATCTGGTGAAGTGTACAGTCTTACTTTTGCTACTACGGGCACAGTAACGCCATCAAAATGTTCCCCCATGAGCTACCTTTCTTCCAGATCACGTAAAAGTATGTTGGAAGACACAATTAGGCTGGTATATGAAGAGGTCCAACCAATATTTGACACTAATAAGGCAAACCTAAGCATGAGAAAAGTGTCACCCTTACCGTCAGTTCACAGAACTTTGAGGAAATTCTTTTCTCTATCTGTTTACAAATATAATAGAAAAGTGAAATATTTAGCACACGTTAAGATCAGGTGCCTAACAGGTTGCCTAGATTCAGCTAGATTCAGGTGGGTAGCATAGTTTTCTCTAAGTTACACTAGGGGGCGACAGTGCACAACATTTCAGAGGCCAGCTCAGAGGAGTTCTGTTCTGCTCACAACCAAGCTTCTAGGAAACAATTGAGGATAGGGGCACCTCATTTTGGGGCCCATAGAACTGGACCCCCTTGTCCAATCTTTTTGAAACTTGGGCTTTTTTTGAGGTAGAGGCACCAGCAGCTATGCTGCAAATTTGGTGCCTCTACCTAAAATAACAGCCCCCCGAGAGTCCCAAATACCCACGGATCAATTATCCATTATAGCCTATGGGACCCATTGAATATAATGGTCCCCATAGGCTATAATTGAGCCAGAGGGGAAAAAATGATTTTTTTTTGCACATCCCTATTATGCTTTTCAGTATTATTGTAAGCTGCCTTTAGTCATAGGGAAAAGTGGGATATAAATATTTGAATAAGTAAGTAGTTTGGGCAGGTTGATAACATTAAAGCAACTGAAGGACTTGGGAATGTTTTGTTTGGAGAAGAAGAGGTTGAGGGCGGACATGATTCCCTCTCTTTAAGTATCTGAAGAGCTGTCAGAGGAGTAGCAGACACACCTTAAACATGTAAATTTATATAAATATCATATCATACTGAAAACACCTCCAACAAAATATATCAAACCTCCAAAGGAGCACCCCTTCAATCACTATATAACCCACAATTGCAAATGAATCAAAAATCAAAATGAAAATAAATATACAGAAACTCAGTCAATGCTGAAATGAAGAATGTAGCACAACACGATGTCTATAATGGCCGGTTGCCAAGCTGCTCGTCCGGCAGCTATGCTTTGTTTTGCTTCCAGCAGCTGTTTTTATGCTTCACGCATTTGCCGGCTTGGATCACTGGGTATCACAGTAAACTGTTTTTGCTTTGAGAACTATGTTGGAAATCTGAACCTCAACACAATAAGACCCACCCAGGACAGCTGTACATTTGTTCAATGTTGTACAATGTTGTACGCGATCTTCCTGAGCCTTTGGGGAGGGCGAAATAAATACTTACTTGTTCAGGATTTTGTCTGAAGTTCAATTTGGGAGGACGCAGCATTTTTTTCACTTCAGGAACATAGAAGTTTTTTTCCTGGATCCTGAAACCAGTCCTGCAATTTACCTACAAAACCCACCAAACATAAAAACAACTAATGAAGATATTATCTAATAACAATAATAAAGATGAATTTGTATCAAAAACAAAGCATTGCACAATAAATCAAATAAAAACACTAACGTTAAACCAACAGTCCAAACATAAAACAAAGACCACATGTTAACTCAACACCTTTCATATGGACAAGTTCCAGAAGAAGAAGAGTCTCAGAGCGGCTTATAATCATCTTTTGGGTTGTCTAGCCCACGGACCGCTCCCATGGACCAAACGGGCCGCCTAAAAAAATCGTGGTCCTTGGGCAGTCCGTTGAAAATGCAAATGCATGGACTGGAGAATTGGACTGCGAACCAGCCCCAGGTCCATAACAAAATCAGGACCGTGGGTTGTTCCTTGCCCATCCCTAATGGACACTACGTGTGGCAGCCCCCTATGTGACCTATTTGGAACATCAAGTTACTGATTGAAACATGGAAACAGACAGAAGGAAAACAGACAGAAGGAAATGAAGGCCCCTTTCACATTACCATTCTAAAACAGATGTTACTCGTTGTTGGCCCAGTTCTGAATAAAGCAATACAGGGACGGGGGTTTCATACAGCAAACTTCATCCCGTTAATGAGGCGTCTCTGAAGCGCTATGGCCATTTCAAACTGTGCCACTTTCCCCCCCATGCGATTTTCCTTACCCTTTCCCCCCCGCTGAACGTTCTAAGGTGAGCACGGTAGCACTAAACCAATATAGGCTGCGGTAACACGGAACAGAAGCCACACAAGTGAGACGGAAAACAGGCGGAGTTTCCGGGCGCGATCTCACCAGCACATCTGGGAAGCGTAGCACTCCCGTGGCACAACCGAGGCTTCCAGCCAAAACTGCGTGGCAAAAAACTAGTACCTTGGAGGTACTAGTTTCTGGAAACTGCGGGGCAAGGGCGGGCGTCTGATCGCATTTCCGGTGGCATCCGGCGCCCGCCCATGTCCCCTTGCAAATAAGGTGTTGTTTTTTTTGTCCATGTCTCTGTGGATGCGCACACGCACCCAATGGAGCATGCACATTAGTCGTGTACACACAAAAACAAAACATTTTGCCGCGGCGCGCGCTTCTTTGTTGCGCGCCGGCTTGTCCTGTGATCAGCACCTCTCCCTTGCAATGGAACCTCCACGGTACCTCCACAGGACCTCCACGGGAGGTCTGCTCGAGTAACTGCGCAGTAGTTTGCCCCAGGGCAAACAGCCACGCTTCTCCCCCGCAGTTTCCTGCCCGTGTGACCGGGGCCTTAGTCTCTCAATGAAGTCAAGGCATCTCAATGGTGCCACCGTAACACTGAAGTGCTATATTGGTTTAGCACTATAGTGCTCAACTTAGAATGTTTGGGGGATGGGGAAAGGATAAGGAAGATCGTGCAGCAAAAAGCGCACGAGGGAAGTAGCATTTCAGGAAGCATGATGGACATATTTAACAGCACGCCACAGTGATTCAGAAGCACAACAAAGAGGTAAAAATGGAAGAAAGCAGTTTCCCTCAAAAATTGCTCAACCCACCTTTTAATCCAATATACCGACAAATGTTTTCACTTTTACCTGGTTCTCATAATCATCTTCAACTCTTATTATACTACTTTTTATTTCTTTATTTCTTTACTTACTACTACTACTATTATTGCTATTATTTCTGGGCAAGCATCTAATGATTCACAGTTATTTTTCCAAGGATGTAACAGTAAGTTATTTGCTGAAATGGTTGCAGTAACTTCTCAGGCTTGCATTGTTCAGCCGTTGACAAATGGATCTGCGACACTTTGGCTGTCTTGGGAAAGGGGCCAAGCCAGTTTGGTGTAGTGGTTAGGAGCGTGGACTCTAATCTGGGAGAACCTTGTTTGATTCCCCACTTCTCCACATGCAGCTGCTGGTGTGACCTTGAGTCAGTCACAAGTTCTCTCAGCTGTTCTCTCGCAAGCAGTCCTCGAATGAGCTCTCTCAGCCCCACCTACCTCACAGGGTGTCTGTTGTGGGAAAGGGAAGGGAAAGGAGTTTGTAAGCCGCTCTGAGACTCCTTCGGATAGTGTAGGGAGGGGTATAACTCCAATCTCCTCCTCCTTTTGCATCAAAGGTGGCCTTTTTGTTGAGGTCAAGGCTTGGGGAGAATGCTATAGAACTTCGAGATGTGGTCCCCACCCAGCCACCACTGCATGGCGCTAGGAAAAGCACAGTTGGGAAGAACAGCCAAGAAGAACTTGCCTAGTTCCCACCAATGCTATGTTTCAGCAACAGTGCAAATGCCTTGGGGCTTCATTTCAAGGGTTTCACCTACCTTATATAGCACCTGTAGAGTCATAAGAGTCCAAGGGAAGAACTTATGTCTGTTTTGCATCTCTAAAGATCTCATCTTCTCAATGAAGGAAGATATTTTGGCACTGGAAAGTCTTTGATAGATGTCCACTAGATCCTTGAAGAAGGGGACATCTAAATTGGACCACAGAGATTCTGTAAAGGAAGAGAGCCAGTTTGGTGTAGTGGTTAAGTGCGCGGACTCTAATCTGGGAGAACCGGGTTTGATTCCCCACTCCTCCACGTGCACCTGGCTGGATGACTTTGGGCAAGCCGTAGTTCTGATAAAAGCTGTTCTTGAAAAAAAGAGCAGTTTCTGTCAGAGTTCTCTCAGCCCCACCGACCTCACAGGGTGTCTGTTGTGGGGAGGGGAAGGGAAAGGAGTTTGTAAGCCGCTCTGAGACACCTTTGGGTAGTGGTATAAATCCAATCTCTTCTTCTTTGATACTGAGCTGGTTATGTACTGCTGCCAGCAGACCACTCCTAGAGAATTGTTCTCTGTGGTCTTCCTTTCCTTGGGGCCCTGTAGCCAGAATGTGCTACCAACCCCTTCCTTACCAAGGGTTTGCCTGCCTTCCGGCTGAAGTTCCATGACAGCCTGTGCCAACTGGTTAAGCAGAGAGTCCGACTGTAGGTCCTGCTTTCGTATGATTAGAGGAATGATGACAAAGACTCTGAGTGCTTCAGGGGATGTAGCGGAGGAATGCAGGGACTGTACAAGCTTTTCAACAGCATTCATCACCTTGAAGAAAGAGGGAAAACGTAATGTAATGCAGCAACGGAACATTTAATTCACACCATTTTGTGGCAATAAGGTTGATCACAAGGTACAGCATAATCCAAAAACATCTATTTTCTCTCCCTGCCCCCTTTTGTTTTGTTCTTTAATATGCAGCTTATGAAGATTTCTGGTAACCTCAAAAGTGTTCAAGCAGATTTGAGTCGTCGTGGTGGGTCCTAAAACATTTTTTTTATTTCTGGACCAGCACGGCTGCCTGCAAAACCAGGTCAGATTCCTTTAGCATTTGGTGGAGACAAAAAAAATACTGAGAAACGCCATTTTATTCTGCACATTATGTGAGATTTCCATGCCCTTTCTTACCTGTGTGCAGACTTTAGGCTTTTCTGCAATCTTGTCAGAGAAAAGGAGCACAGCGGACATGTTGATACCTGAAACCCCCTGAAATGTTCTGAAGTGTTCATCTTGACTGAAAAAATAAAAGAAGATTACAAATTGCAATTCCTTGTTTATGGAGAAACTATAAAAATGTTTGCTCAGCTATGGGTGTGAAGAGAACTCCACAGCAACCATAAGAATGCCACTGTAGTTGAGGTATATGTTATTTTGTATTAGCTTTGTGTGGTAAATGCTTTTAGATTTTGTAGCCATTAGCCATTTGGGGCCCTAGGTAGAACACAGGAGGAACTTAAAACACCCCTTTGGTCTGAAACCTCTGAATTATGGCCAAACTCCTTAGTTCCTTATTCGCAGTTCCTTATTCATTCCTTATTTGACTTATTCATGAATTCATCCATAAATACTGAGGAGAGTTGGACAGTTCTGAACCCCAAAATAAGGTCTGGAACACCACATATCATACACCCCCAGGTTCAGGGGACTCTCCCCTTCAAGAAGATATATCCTGTTTCCTGGTCCAAAGCACGGTTCTTGTGCCAGCTGCTCCAAAGTGTGGTGCCCCAGGACAATCACACAGGCAGACACTGGGGCCAGGCTGCACCCACAAAACAATCTTTGGACCACCCCACATGACACATCCGCAGACTCTGGGGACTGTCCCCTGCAAGGAGACATACAGCACTGCCTGGTCCAAACACTGGTTCTGGCCCCATGGGGACTCACAGCCATACTGTAGCTGCCATTCCTGAGAGTGGATCCGTTTGAAAATGCCCTTGGGGTCAGTATAGGTGGAGCTCCACATTCCCCAGGGCACCGTTTCAGGGCAGGAAATGGTGGAGAGGGGAGGAGGAGCCCCTCTATCTCCTGCACTGCAGTCTTAATCTAAATTGGGCCCCCATGGCATTTTAGATAGCTTTGACTCCTCACAGTGAAGTAGCATACCTAAGGGTTGCCAGGTGAGGCTGACAAGCAGACAGGGAACTCACCAGGAGCCTCTGGAAGAGGAAGCGAGTTCCAGATGAGCTGCCGTTGCATTGAAAGGGACCACGATCCTTTTAAATGCTTTCCCTCCATTAGAAGCAACCTCCTGAGATGTTCTGAAGTGTTGATCTTGACTGAAAAAAGAACAGCAGATTACAAATTACACATAAATTACACAGATTACACATAAATATTTTTAAAGCAACACAAACACATATTATAAACACATGAAAAGCTGTTGCTGAGTTGACCTATGATCCACTAAACTGCTTGCTAGATCCATGGTTAATTTGTCCTGTCAACACTTGCAATGTGATTGATCCTCACAAAATTGGAAAATTTGGTACCTCTACCTCAAAAAACAAGCCCCCCCCCCCGAGCCCCAGAAACCCATGGATTGATTCTCCATTTTACCCTATGGGGAACAGTCTCCATAGGATACAGTGGAGCACCCAGCAGTTATTTCTCCCCACCCCCCACTTTCTGATAGCCCTGAAGTAGGGGGAGGGGCTCCAAACCGGGGGATCCCCTGCCCCCAACTGGGGATTGGCAACCCTGGCATACCTTCTAAGATCTAGCTTGGCCCTCAGCTTTTTTCCTTGCATGAGCAGAACTCTGAACATATGAAGCTATCTCACATCAAGTCGGAGCAGTGATTCCTTTAGCTCAGTACTGCCTACTATGACTGGCAGCGGCTCTCCAGGCCTCAGGCAGAGAAAGGCCTTTCCTAACATTCCCTGGGATTCCTTAACTGTCTACAACAGGGATTGAACTTGGAACCTCCTGCATGCAAACTGCTAAAGCCATAAGCCGTATTGTGTGCAAACAGAGAACAGGTTTAGAATCAATCCTCTTGAGAATCTAATTCCTTAGTCGAGCTTTTTTAAAAAAGAGAAGAGTGAGTTGTGAACAGAGGCTTGAAAGGAAGTGTGCAATGTCACGTACAGTCTCCAAAGCTACAGAGGGACCGATTCCACAAAAGCAGTTGTTCTGCCCTCGGTTTCCCGTTTACCCCGGTTGTACTGCTCAGTTCCCAGTATTTGCTGCACAGCTACATTTTGACCTGCATCTCCCCCCAAGTTCCCCTGCGTCTTCTTGATCCTAAAAACTAACAATCAAGAAGATGCAGGGGAAATTGGTGGGAGATGCGGGTCAAAATGCAGCCGCGCAGCAAATAGTGGGAAACTGAGCAGTACAGCCAGGAGAAACGGGAGACCGAGGGCGGAACAACTGCTTTTGCGGAATTGATTAGGGCCTCAGATTCCTACTGGTGCTGTTTCTCTACAGTATACAGAGTGTATATATACACACACATGTCTGCATACATTACACAGGCTACAGAATCCACAATTTCCTGAAGCAAAATTTGGGTTATCCTAGCATACAATTTCTATTTTTTTAAGTGCATGCTATAAAAAGACTTGATCATAGGACAAAACAGTGACCATTACAGTGCCTATTTGGCGACATTATTTATTATTTTTCAAATGTTTTCCATTAACAGTAATAAATAACAAACTCATGCACTTGAGGAGGTACTTGGGGGAGGGATGCTTGTTTTATATCTGTCTCCTTTCCTTGCCCCACCCTATGGCTAAGCGGTGCACCCTATAGATCCTTGGGTCTGTAGAGGTACAGAGATGCAGTTCTGAAAAACAACGCCATGGGTGCAGTGACACAGGGAAGGATGCCTATGCAATAGGCACAGGCAGCTTCACTTCAGGGGATTGCAGCACCTTTCCTATTGGGAAAGGCTGAAGAGTTTGGGACCTTTTCTTCCATTCAGAAAAAAGAAGGCGAAGGGAGAGAGAGGACAGAGATTTGTAATGCATGAGGTGAAGGAAGCAGACAAAGGGAGCTTTCCCCCCTCCCTCCTTCTTCCATAATACTAGACTTTGGGGTCACCCAGTGAAGTTGATGGGCAATAGATACAGGACAGACAAAATAGGAGGGCAATAGGTACAGGACGGACCTCTTTATTCGATGAGTAATTAAATTATGGAATTCACTGCCAGTGGAGGTAATGATGGCCATGAGCATAGATGACTTTAGAAGAGGGTTAGACAGATGCGTGGAGAGGCCCCTCAATGGCTACTAGCCATTAGTAAAGGGAAACTCCATATTCAGAAGCGTACGTCTCTGAAACCCAGTGCTTGGAGACGACATCTGGGAAAGCCTTGGTCTCTGTGGCCTGTTTGTTGGCCCTCCAAGCCAACTGAATGGCCACTGTGAGAAACAGGGTGCTGGACTAAACGGACCCCTGGCCTGATTCAGCAGGGCTCTTCTTATGTTCACTACTCCCAAACTATAGGGCTTTTTGTTCTGAGGATCGAGTGAAGTCTTGCTTCCTAGGAAAAGGTTTTAAACTGTCTTTCTGTTGCTGCTGCTGCTGCTGTCTTGGCACATTCACTTTGGAAATCTTACAGTCCACAGAACTCAGCTGTACATCTGCTTCTTCAACCCACTCGGCAAGCTAAAATAATCCCTGGGTCTTGGACATGGTTTGTTCCAATTTATTTAGCATTACATAGGGAGGGAGTTCATTTTTAAACCCATTTTTACCGGCTGCTTTATTCCCAGATTACCAAAATTTTATTAATTTTAAACACTTCTATGCTGCCTTTCCACCCAATTTCAGAGTCCCCAAGGCAGTGAACATTAAAACATTTGAAGCATTTAAAAAAATTAAAATACATCCAAAACACTTAAAACAATATTAACACGCTGTCCTGACCTGGATGGCCCAGGCTAGCCTGATCTTGTCAGATCTCAGAAGCTAAGCAGGGTCAGCCCTGGTTAGTACTTGGATGGGAGACTTCCAAGTCGAGGTTGCTATGCAGAGGCAGGCAATGGCAAACCATCTCTGTTTTGACTCTTTCCTTGAAAACCCTATGGAGTAGCCATTAGCCAGCTGTGACTTAATGGCACTTTCCACTGAATGAACACATAAATATTTTTAAAACAACACAAACACATATTATAAACACATAAAAAAAGCTGTTGCTGAGTTGACCTATGGTCCACCAAACTGCTTGCTAGATCCATGGTTAATTTGTCCTGTCAACACTTGCAATGTGATTGAGCCTCACAAAACGGTAATTTACCTGTTTTTCAGGAAGCTTCCATTGACACAGGCTGCCGATGAGAAGATCAGCTTAATGTCCCTGTTGGTTCAAAAAGGGAAAAAAGAGAGAGAGAAAGAGAGAGAATGAGCCTTTAAGTCATTGCCTTGAGAATGGAGCTGGACTTGCCACTGAGGTAAAACTGATAAAATAAAGCCCTTTGTGCATACAGCGTATTCTCTGCTTGACACAAGCAACCATTGTCAAGCCAATGGCTTGTGAGAGGAAAGAAGAGACAAGCACATGGCTATCTTTCCCTCCCTCTCCTCATGAATTTTTTTTTATTTATTATTTATATTTATATCCTGCCTTTCCAGGTATCTGGCTCAATTATCTCATATTTTTATTCCACTCTTCCATCAAGGTGCTCAGGGTGGCATATATGACTTTCCCTGCCTCCACTTCATTCTCACAACAATTCCATGAGGTAGACTGGTCCAACTGGCTCAAGACCACCTGATGAGCTTCAGAGCTGTGTGGAACCCAGGTCTCCCCAGCCCTAGACTGGCACTCTAACCACACCACTCTGCCTCTCACTAGGGCATTTAGAGCCTGGTGGGACTACAAGAAATCATGCTGAAATGCAGATTGAAGTGTGTATTCTCCAACTCTGGTCCTTGAGGTCAGTTCTACTGGAGATGTGGGTTTAAGGAGGCATTGGTGAGGAGGGCTGGATCCTGATGTAAAGCTGGCAGAAGGTACTGTCTTGCTGAGCAAATAGTGCCAGGGTCTGACATACCTGAGGGACTGCCTTTCCCCACACATACCCCACAGTGCACTACGGTTTGGGGCACAACACCGGCTAGTGATTCCAGGCCCCAAAGAGGCCAGGCTCATTGTTACCAGGGCTAGGGCCTTTTCATGGCGGCTCCTACCTGGTGGAATGAGCTCCCGGAGGAGAACAGGGCCCTGCGGGACCTTGTACAGTTCCGCAAGGCCTGCAAGACGGAGCTCTTCCGCCAGGCTTTTAATTAGGAGCTGAGCTGGAGGCTAAAAAACTGTGAGCTAGCTCACACTAACTCAGCTTAAAGGGAACACTGCCACCAACTATCACTGTTAGTAACACTGGGGTGGTTGGTTGGCCCTACATGGAGATCGAACTACAGTAACATACGAGACAGATACGGCTGAATTGGGACTTGCGTCCATCTACAGGATGCCATCTTTAACGTGATTGGAAGATCAATTCTATGCTAAGCACTTAAATTGTAATAATATGATTGCTTTATCTTGTTTTTATCTGGTTTTATATGTTTAATATATTTTGACACATAAGTTCCTTTAAATGTAAGCCACCCTGAGCCCGTTCGTGGGGAGGACGGGATAGAAACCCAATAAAATAAATAAATAAATAAATGAAACTTAGTTTTTTGTCTTCTGCACTGAACAGGGCTTTGAGGTACCATGTGATTCTTTTGCAAATCTGACTCAAAGGCAGCTTTGGTTCCTCTGGATTCCAGTTTGGTAAAGTTTGTGCTTGAACTTCTCAACTGCGAGATGTACTTGGGGGTATTTCAAACTTGTCCCTTGAAGTAATAAACCAAATACGACCTTTTGACAAGGTTCTGGCTATTCCCTAGCACCCTGCCCTGCTCCTAGGCCAGCTGGTCATATTACTTGATTTTATTGCCCAACTCCGCTCAGGATGCACACAGAGACAAGGACTGCGGGATGGTCTGGCTGAATAATCTCTGGACCATCACAGGCTGAATATATATAACCAAGTGGGAGCTTACTGGGCTAGGTCTCAACTTCAGACAGTGGATTCCCTGGAAAGCCAGAAGCCTCTGCTCCCAGTTCATTATACCTACCTGCTATGCCTATGCTGAACATTATATCGTTAGAACAAAGTTTGAGTCCAGTGGCACATTTAAGACCAACCAAGTTTACTTCTAGGCATAAGCTTTTGTGTATACTACTCACACTTCTTCAAATACATTGAAACAGCAGAGACACTGATCCCATAAAAAACATCTGGCTGCAATAGTTGTAGAAATCATAGCAGAGTAGATACGTACTGTCTTATGTTCTGCCACCGGTCATGGTCCAAATCAGAAACCCAATTATCTATCTCTTCCTCTTCTATTCTGGCAGGCGTCCGGTTTAAATTGGCATATGAATTCTGAAGAAAACAAATACAATACACACGAAGTGACCCCAGAACTTAATGAGGTTTCTCCACGGGGGACAGGTGATTGAAACCCAGACTGGATATGCCTCCTTGCATTTTGTTGATCTCTCTCCCTATCCCTGACCATGTAGACATTTATGGCATTAAAGCACATCAAAACTGGCTGTTGCAACCAAATGATAAGGCAAACTATGGACCATTAAAGACAACCAATTTGTAGCACAATAAACGCCTTGCTGCAAAACAGTTATACTGCAGGTTTCCCCAGTCTGAATACAATATATTTTTGTGCCCATTTTCATGATTTTCTACAGACTGATTAATAGTGAATAACTGCTATGTGGAATCTTGTTAGATATGGGACACCGACCTCTGTTGGATGTCAGATATTGTCCGTTACTTGAATGGCGATGGGATACGACTCCCCTTGCCACGCCCACATCTAGTGATTTTTATGCCTGAAACTGAGCATTCCCTGTCGTAAGCACACATCTGACTTAAAACTATGTCAAATTGCTACAGATGCGCTGAAGATTATATTTTTATTTTCAGTTGGGACTATCTCATGACAACTACAATAGGCACCTTTGGAATTTTGATCCCAATTTGGAACTGCCAGCCCACCAAGCTTTTACTGACCTTTTCCTTCAGAGAAATCACAATACTTTGGTTATCTCCAGCAATGACTTTAATCTGTTCCTCTGAAGCACTCCCATCTGTGATAAGACAGTAAAGCAAAGGATTATTCAAGGAGTTGTGTCTCAGCTATAGAAACACCTAGTTGGTGATATGATGAAGTGGGCTCTGGCACATGGAAGCTCATGCCATGATACATGCAAACATGGTCATTCTTGCAGAACTTATAACATGCTTTATCTGGAATTCCCTCATTGATCCCTCTCTCATGCCTTATGTTTTAATTGTCATTTTGACATGTATCTTATTGTACTGTGTGTATATTTAGCTTGGTTTTAGGTGTTGTATTTTTAAATGGATTTTAAGATATGTTTTATTACACATGTTCTTAATTTGTTAGCCACCTTGGTGGCTCTGATGAAGGCAGAAAGGTGGGGCATAAATATTGTAAATAAATATAAAAGTTTAACCTAGCACCTCAAAGTACATCAGGAAGCGAACTCAGGCTCTGAGACTGGAGTAATCTATGTGAATTATGTAATGAGGAAAAAATGTGGTTTTAAATTGATAATGTTCCTTGCCCAAACGAGATACATTAAATTGGGCTGGGTGCCAAAGATGATCTTAAATTACTTTCACACCAGTTCTGTCGCCAATGAAGCTGCTGTGGGGCACAGAATCCATCTCTGCGCCTAGCCCCAAAGCCTCTACTAGCATGGCAACCGTGTATCCAAATGCTCAATCTGTTTTATTATCCGTCTTGAGTTTCAATTTAAAAAGTGGCCTATGAATAAAGAAATAAATGTTGCTTTTTAACGTGTGGATGGATCTTAAATTCACAGTGTGCTTGATTCAGAGCCAAACATGAAGCACAGCTTATAAAGATTATAAGCATCGTTTACCCTGGTTGAATTTCCTATCCCTCTTGGTCAAATCAACAGGAAGGGGTATCAACTGGTCACACTTCCTCCCATTGCCAAGTTGTCCTTCGGATCCAGAACCAAATGAGTAGACTTCTCCCAGGTCTGGGACATAGACAAGGGTGTGCCATCTGTTTATAGGTGTAAAGCAAATTATGTATATTCAGAGCCTTTGGCTCAAACAGGCCCTTGCAAGCTAAAAAACTACAGCCACTGGGGGGAGGCAATTTTAGAATCATAGAATCACAGAGTTGGAAGGGGCCATAGAGGTCATCTAGCCCAACCTGCTGCTCAATGCAGGATCAGCCTCAAGCAGGGGTGGCCAAACTCGCTTAACGTAAGAGCTACATAGAATAAACATCAGAGGTCTGAGAGCCACAAGACATGAACAAATATCACACATATGTTTTTATTGGAAAATAAGCAAATTTGCTTTTTATTAACATTAAATGAAATTGCCAAAATAAAAACAAAAGGGAAAAAACTGATATTGATAATGATATTTATTTGTATCAGAGAGAGAGAAAGAGAAGTGGAAAGAAAGAGAGAGAAACAAAGAAAGGAAATAGATGGGGGGAGGGGAAAGGAAGGAAGAGAGAAAGAAAAGAAGGGGAAAAGGAAGAAAGAGAGGAAAAAGAGAAAGAAAGGTGGAAAGAAAGCAAATAGATGGGGAGGAAGGAAGGGGGAAGAGAGAAAGAGAGAAAAACAAAGAAAGAAAGCAACTTTAACTTTAAATATGTCATCCAAGCCCCTGCCCCATGCCAGCTGGCTTGGCTTGGAGAAGGGATTTAAAGAGACAAATGTGTTTTTCAAGCTGGCCGGCAGGCAGGAAAGGGGCTGTGGGTCAGCGGAAGAGCCTCTGCTTTGGATGCAGATTCAATCCCCAGCATCTTGGGTAACAAGATCAGGTATAGGTGATGTAAAAGAGCTCAGCCCAAGACCCTGGAGGGCCACTCCCTGTCTGAGTAAACAATACTGACCTTGATGGACCATTAGTCTGATTCAGTATAAGGCAGCTTGAAATCTCTGTGTGTGTGTGTGTGTGTGTGTGTGTGTGTGTGTTTGTGAGAGAGACAGACACACAGACAGGATGGCAAGTTCAATAGACAAAATGGAGTTTTAGGGAAATAACACATTACATTAAGAATCGCAACAGAATGGTCCAAGTGCAGTCATACTTTCAAGAGACTCAGCTACTGCTGCCCTGTACATGATGCCCCATATCTTCACTAGCAAAGGATGAATTGCATGGGCTTCTCTTACATAAATTGCCTCTGTTGGATACTGGAGCAAAATCCAAAAAGACAACCCTCCCCCAATCTATTTTTACCCTCTTTTCAGCTTGGTAAAAAAATCATCTCCTTGACAACATAAACCATGTGGAAGATCGGTGGCTTTCTTACCTCCCACAGGCTACCTCAGACACTCGAGCACCAAACAGCTCTGCCACAAGACGTGGATACAGCTCGTTGCGTGTGGAGTTGTGGCCAAGCTGGCCATAGCAGCCAGCTCCAAAAGTGCAGACCAGTCCCTCCTTGGCAGAAAAGAGACACATCAACATGACATACTTAAGGGCAAATTCTCCACCCCACCCATCACGGATGGCTTTAATCCTGCCCAGGGCTCTTTTTGTAGAAAAAGCCCAGCAGGAACTCATTAGCATAATAGGCCACACCCAACACCAGAAACTCATTAGCATATTAGGCCACACCCCTGACAGCACACCTTATTAGCACATTAGGCCGCACCCCCATGTTACCAGAAGTGTGGTCATCCAGCCACACCCACCTTTTGCTTGTTATTCTGTTTACCTTGTTTGTTGTCAAAACCCAGGGCCTTTTTTGGTAGCAGGAACTCCTTTGCATGTTAGGCCACACACCCCTAATGTAGCCAATCCTAATGAGTTTCTGCTGTTGGGTGTGGCCTATTATGCTAATGAGTTCCTGCTGGGCGTGGCCAACTTGGGAGCCAGCCAGAACTCCATTCCTGTGCGTTGCTGCCCAAAAATAGCCCTGATCCTGCCTCTTATCCAAGCGGCTTCAGGCCAGCGGCTTCCTTTAGCAACAACCCTGTGAGATGCATTAGACTGAAAGAGAATGACTGGCTTATGGTAACTCAATGAGCTTCACGGCAGTGTGGAGTTTTGAATCTGGGATCCTGATCTAGCCCAATCTTGTCAGATCTCAGAAGCTAAGCAGGGTTGACCCTGGCTAGTATTTGGATGGGGGTCCCCCAAGGAATACCAAGGTTGTGAGGTGGAGGCAGGCAATGGTGGCAAACCACCTCTGTATGTCTCTTGGCTCAAAAACCCTATGGCAGGGGCCCCCAACCTTTGAAATTCTGACATGGCACGGTGGGCACAACAGGAGGCAGAGCCAGCCACACAATGACTGGCACAGCTTAACTTCTGTAATACAGGGTAGATCCTTGTGGTGTGGTGGCCGCTGCTGCCAAAGCACCATTTTAAGAAAATCTGCACAGCCAATCAAATCTCCAGTAGTCAATCAGAAGCCATGATGGGCAGACCTATCCCTGCTGTCCACTTCCTAAAAAACACTTGGTGGGCACCAGGAAAGGTCTCAGCGGGCAGCATGATGCCCACGGGCACCACATTGGGGAGCCCTGCCCTACAAGGTCACCATAAGTCAACTGTGACTTGATGGCACTTTCCACTACCAGTCTAGCTATACCAACCAGCTCATGTTATATAACTGAGGAAGCAAAAGTTTATGAGATCATGGGTGACCAAGTCTGTGGGTGTGCTGTACTGTAAAGCAAAGAAATCACCATTATGCACCAAGGTATTTTAAATTCTGTGCCAAGAAAAGCTTAAATCTGCAGATCAATCCTGTTTCTCCAACCACAGAGAGGGGTAGTGAGTTACCGCAGAGCTTAAAAGGCTTTCCTCTTGACTATGTGAGATATTATGCTACTCATCCTTTTCATCTTCTGAAATCTCCCCAGGCATAGCTCACACACTTATAATGCTATTTTCGTAGTCACAAGGTCTAGAAACTTTGTTGTTTTTTAAAACAGTGGACAATTAACCTATGGAACTCACTGATACAGTGATGTTATGATGGCATCAGGCATATTTGGCTTCTAAAAACTTCTAGATAAGCTCTCAAAGAGGAATGTGAGAGAGAAGGTGTGTGAGAATGTAAACATATTAATAAACCAAGGATTTCTTTCTTTTTTTAAAGTCAACCTTTGAAAGAACTGCAGTATGCTCTCCTCCACATGAAATAAACACGGTCTTCTTATGCTCCAAGGCATTCACGTATGTAGGGGAGTATCTATCTGAAAAGGAGATAAAAAGGGAAATGAAGCCACTGAAAGGGTGTGTGTGGTCTGTTGATCTTTGAAAAAGAAATAATTTGCTAGAAATGACTTCGATCTGGTCTATACATATAGTAAACATAAGGTGGGAATGAGGTGGCAGAGGAGATTGTACTACTTCAAACTGCAGGGAAGAGATCACATTTTTCACATTTCACCATGTATATGGATAATATTTCCCTATATATGAAAAGCTAGCACAGCTTGGAAAAGGCTGGGCTAGAACCTGGCTTCTCAATGTGCTCCTTTCTAAACTGGAGGGATTTTTTTACATAGGGGAGCATTAAAAATGTGACACACTACAATCTGAAAGAGGTTTACAGCCCATTTGGTCTTCTCAGTCAGGATTCTACTATTGGATTCGCCATCCTGTGTCGATCAGGCCTTGCTGACCTGTAAATATAAAACTGAGATCCCTTATCACGCACTTCACATGAAGCACACACAGATGTCAAGTCTGTAGTTAAAATTGATTTTAAAACCTGTGGGGAAAGATGAACTAGTTTATAATGCCCACTTGTACACAGAACTTTCTAGGCTGGCTAGCCCTGTTTAATAGTCTGCCACAAAACGGCTGTACAAGTGCTCACTCAGGTGGTAAAAACTGCCAGTGCTCAATGTCTGAAATCTGCAACTGTGCCTTCGTTTCACCAGGGGGGGGCAGATTTGCCTGTGTTATGAATCTGCTTGCAATCACCTTCAAGGAACTGTTTCGTTACGATTGTATGCACAAATCATTAGTTATTGTAATATTGATGCCCTATATCAAGCAGGTGGGCACCTCTATAAGAGACAGGCATCTATTGCACTCTTGTACATATGAGCTCCCTTTGTAACCACCTTTGTCCCCTGCCTTTTTAACCCCCTTTCTTCATTATGCTGTGCTGTGCCTTGGAAAGATGACAAAAAGAAAGTTGCTTCTTTTAAAGCACGGTGTGGGAGGAGAGTGTTATGAATACTGTGGCCCACCAAAAAGATAAAAGTTGGTCCTAGAGAAAAATCAAGCCTGATCTCTCCTTAGAAGCGGACTTAGAAGTGTGCTTCTTAGAAGGAACTGCCCTTGTATCAGAAGTGGACTTGCCCGGCCGAGGAGGGTTCGATGTCGATGGCATCGACATGAACAATCTCAGTGGGGGTTCGGTCAATATTGATGATTTCGGAGGAGGTTCAGTCGATATTGATGATTTCGGAGGGGGTTCGGTCGACATAGTTGGTTTCGGAGGGTCTAACGCCGATTCCCAAAGGGCTACCTTAAGTCTAGCTGCTCTGTTCTTGCGCGTTTGATTAGAGAATTTCGCACAGGAAGCGCAACCCTCCGGATGATGAGATTCCCCCAGACAGAGAATGCAGAGAGTGTGTCCATCCTGAAGAGTCAATTTACTGCCACATGAGACACACCTCTTGAAACACCCCCTCTTCTTATCCATAAAAATTCTCCTCAGACGTGAGGGAAGGAAAGAGGGAGGAAGGAAGGGGAGGGGGAGTCCGAAGACCCAACGGAAAGTTCTCACCCCTCTTCTACTCTTCTCTCTCTCTTTTTTAGGCTGAACAAACAACGAAGAAAAAAGACGAATCCCAACATGAGGAAGAGACAAAAATCACCGACTGACAGATTAGCTGCTAACAGCGTGGCGGTCAGAGAAGAACTGGCAGGATGTCCACGCTCCACCCCCGTGGGCATGCGCAGTTGGGGTTCCCGCGCAGACTCAGGATGGAGGCGCGAAAAATCCCACTGTGAGCTTTGTACAACACCGATCGGATCAGAGCAGGCACACTGGATCCCATAGGTGTGACTGCACAGATGACCATGAAGAAGATAATCCACTTTCAGTGCACTTTCAAATTGGATTTTGCCAGTTCACACTGTAAAATCCAGTTGGAAAGTGCACTGAAGGTGGATTATTTCGCGTGTGTGATCGCTGTGTCGGTTCCACCCTCTCCCTAACAGTGATCAATCACTGCTGATGGAATGTTGGGGAAAGACAGCAGTCAAGAGCGAAGCTGGGAGTTAGGGGGGGTGAGAGGGGAAAGAGGATGTCTGCCTGAGTGAAATTCAATCAAGAGTCCAGTAGCACCATAAAGACTAAAACTTTGTGGCAGGGTATCAGCTTTCATGAGACACTGCTCACTTCTTCAGATAAGTGAAACTGTGGAGAATTGCTGCTTAGAGCTGACTGAAAAGAGTCAATTTGTAGCAAAGGATCTCAATTGCAGGAATAGGGGGAAAGTTCAAAAGCTCAGTGGGAGCTTAACATTATAACTTCCACCATACTTTCTTCAGTGTTACATTAATACCATAAATAAATGTTAACTTCTTGTTTTGTTTAACCCTGTGGGTTGTGTTTCTAAGGGAAA